TGTATAATCCAAAAAAACATCATTTCCCTCCGGGCATTGTTCATTATCCTTTTTTCTGTTTGAAAATTTTTCCCTTTTTGTTTTTTCATTTATAAATTTTTTTCCCAATCGAAAAGCAGTTTTTTCATTTTTAACATTTTTAAAGGCATATTTTTTAAGGTATTTTCCGCTTCTACATGCTGCTTTTGGGAAACACAGGAAGCCCAAGGGGGCTCCCCAAAGGGTTTCTGGAGGGAAAAATGGTGGGTTTGCAATCCCTTTCTGGAGGGTTTTCCCCGGAGACAGTTTTGCACCCTCATTTTTCAGGTAGTGGCTTTGCGCTTCATCAAACATAAGAAAAATGGTCAGCAAAGCGGGTTCCCTAGCCCTGAAATGATTAATTCAAATTTTTATTTCAAGCTTAAATTTTTCGACTTGAAAAAAAAAACAAAAATAGGGATTTGGGTTTCTATTCTAAAACCGCGTCAAAACTTTATTGATTTTCAATAAAACCCTACAGTTATACTACTATAATCCCTATTTCGACCTTTTTTTGAAAAAACAATAGTTTTAACCAAAAACATTGAAATTGCTTTTTTGATAAAAATTTTTAATTTTTGGCTAAAATTCTTATTGGCATTGATTTTAGAATTAAACGGGTCGGGGAAATATTGCATTACAAACAAATTTTCAAAAAATTTTTTGGTTAAAATATTTTTTCATTAAAATTATATGAAAATTTTTTAAAATTCTTTACTTTGTAAATTTAAACTGTTTAAAAAACCAAAATAACAACTACAGCCAGGTATTTTTAAATTTGGGGGCTTTTTTTTAAGTTTTGATAAAAAAAAACCATTATAAAAAAATTATTACTGACAATTTTCTTGCCCAAAAAACTTTTCAAGCATTTTTTGAGCTGTTCATGAAAAAACCCAACAAAATTTTGGTTTGGGGACCAAAAAGGATCCAGAAAAGCCTGCGAAATTCCCCCGCATTTGGATCAGGATCCATGCTGTTGTTTCCCAACGCTATTCCCAAGTAGGGAAACTGTAGCAACAGCGGGACCCTTAAATCAACTGCGCGAATGGCAGGTTTGGCCCTGGACCCATGCGGGTCGCAAACCCTTATTTGGTTTTGTCATGGCAAAAAGTCATTTTTTTTCACCCTTATTTTTCTTTGAAAAATTTTTAACTATTTTCCCTTTGGTGTTATTTCAAACCCATCCCAGGAAGAATATCAACCAGTCATTCTTTTTTGCAATTGCCCCCAAAGGGGCCCAGTAATCTATATAGATTTAAGAAACAAAATATTCTTTTGTCCCCCCAGCCCTTCGGGTGGTTTTTAACCTGTATAGAAAATTAGTGCATATTAGCATTCTTATATACTAAAAAGGGTTAGTTTTAAAAAAAGTAGTCCTTTTGTTTTCGAAATTTTCCCTTTCCAGGGGCGTTTTTTAAAATGTAAAAATACATTTTCTGTTAGCTGAAAAGACTTCAGCAAAACACCCAAAATAAAAGTTACATAAAAAAGTTAAGGAAGCCCGTTCTTTTTTAAAAAAGGGGAAAATGAATTTTAATTTAAGATGCATGTAAAAATAGAAAACCCTTTTTTCCCCATTTTTTTTGGGAAAAAAAAAAAAAAATTTGGGAAAATTTTTTTCCCCCTTTTTTAAAAAAAAAAATTTTTTTTAAAAATTTTTTTTTTAAAAAAAAAAGTTAAAAAGCCCCCGCCGAAAAATTTTTTTTAAAAAAAAAAAAATTTTTTTTTAAAAAAAAAGGGGGGGAAAAAAAAAAAAATTTTTTGGGGGGCCCCAAAAACCCCTTTTAAAAAAAAAAAAAATTTTTTTAAAAATTTAAAAAAAAATTTAATTCCCCCCCCCACCCTTTTTTTTGGGGGGAAAAAAAAAAAACCCCCCAAAAACGGAAAAAAAAAAAATTTTTTTTTTTTTAAATCAAACCCCCTTTTTTGGGTTTTAAAAAAAAATTTTTTTTTCCCAAAAAAAAAAGGGCCCCTTTCCCCCGGGGGGCCTTTTTTTCAAAACTTTAAAAAAAAAAATTTTTTTAAAAAAACCCCCCCGGCCCCTTTTTTCCCCCCCCCCGAAAATTTTTTTTTTTTTTTAAAAACCCCCCCCCCCAAAATTTTTTTAAAAAAAAAAGGAAAAAGAAAAAAAAAAATTTTTTAAAAAACCCCCTTTTTTTTTTAAAAAAATTTTTTTTTTTTTTTTAAAAGGAAAAAACAATCCCCGGGGGGGGAAAAGGGAAAAAAAATTTTTTTTCTTATAAGGAATTTAAAAAAAAAAAGCCCTTTTTTTTTTGAAAAAAAAAGTTTTTTTTTTTTTAAAAAAAAAAACCCCTTTGGGGGGGGGGCCCCCCTTTTTTTTTTTTTTTAAAAAAATTTTTTTTTTTTAAATTTTTTTTTTTTTTTTCCCCTTTTTTAAAAATTTTTTTATTTTTCTAAAAATTTTTTTAAAAAAAAAAGGGGGGGGGGTTTTCCCGGGCCCTTTTTTTAAAACCTTTTTTAAAAAAAAAAAATTTAAAAATTTCCCCCCGGGTTTTTAAAAAAATTTTTTTTTTTTTTTTTTTTAAAAAAAAAAACCCCGGGGGGGGCCCGGGCCTTTTTTCCCCCCCAAAAAAAAATTTTTTAATTTTTTTCAATTTTAGGAAAAAATTTGGGTTTTTGGGGGTTTTTTTTTTTTTAAAGGGAAAAAAAAGGGGCCCCCAAAAAGGGCCCCCGGGGTTTTTTCCCCGGGTTTTAGAAAAAGGGGGTTTTAAAAAGGGTTTGCCTTTTTTTTTTTTTTTTTTAAAATTTTTTTTGGTTTTTAAAAAAAAAAAAGGGGGGGGGGGGGGTTTTAAAAAGGGGTTTTTCCCCGGTTTTTCCCAAAAAAAAAATTTTTTTTTTTGGGGTTTTTTTTTTTTTTTTCAAAAAAATTTTTTAAAAAATTTTTTTTTAAAAAAAACCCCCCCCAAAAAAAATTTTTGGGTTTTTAAAAACAATTTAAAATTTTTAAAAAATTTTTTTTAAAAAAAGGGGGGTTTTTTTTTCCTTTTTTAAACCAAAAAGGGGGGGGCCAAAACCCCCCAAAAAACCCCCCCAAACAAAAAAAACTAACCCCGGGTTTTTTTTAAAAAAAAAAATTTTTTTTTTCCCCCTTTTCCCTTTTTTTAAAAAAGGGGGTTTTTTTTTAAAAAAAAAAAAAAAGGAATTTTCCCCAAAAAAAATTTTTCCCAAAAGGGGTTTTAAAAAAATTTTTAACCCAAATTTAAAAAAAAAAACCCAAAAAAAAAAACCCCCAAATTTTTTGGCCCCCCGGTTTTAAAAAAAAAATTTTTAAAAAAATTTAAAAAAAAAACCTTTAAAAAATTAAGTTTAATTGGTTTTTTTTAAAATATAATTTTTTTTTTCCTTTTAAACCAAAAAATTCCCCGGGGGGAAAAAAAAAAAAAGGGGGTAAAACCCGGGGGAAAAAAAAAAAAAAAAAAAAAACCAAAGGGGTTTTTTTTAAAAAACCCAAAAAAACCCCAAAAAAAAAAAATTTTTTTTAAAAAAATCCCCTAGAAGATGTTTCATGCCAAATATCTAAGCTCTAGCTCTTTGGGTTATCTAGAAGAAGATGTTTAAAGTTTTTTCTTTTGGTTGCCATGGCAACCAGAGTTCTGCATGGAATGGAATTCTTTGAACCACTTTGTTAAGGCTTCACACTAGGAACATCCCTGTGAAGTTTCATTATGATCTGCCTTATGGTTTCAGAGGAGATGTCTTTGAAAAGTGTGAACGGACAACGTACGACGGACGACAGACGACGGACGAAGAGTGATCCTAAAAGCTCACCCTGAGCATATGCTCAGGTGAGCTAAAAATAGGACCCCAGAAATTGACCAGTTCAAGAATATAGTTTTTAGAAAAACCGGGATCATATTAAAAAATAAAGAGATCCCAGGAATTGGACAGTTCAAAAATATTGTTTTCAGAAAAGCTGGGATCGTATTAAAACATATAGGGATCCCGGAATTTGACCAATTCAAGAATATAGTCTTTGATTTTTTCAATTAATTAGGCATATAATTATAAGTATTGAGATTGTGTTAATAAATAGCTCTAAATATGTGTATCCTAAGTTAAATCAATTTAACTTTCATTACATACAATAAAAAAAACTTAACGTTTAATGGCCTTTCATTACACAAATATAGTTTATTAGTTTTTTCCTCTATTATCTTATACGATCCCGGATCCCGGCCAGTAAATACATGCACTTAATACCGGAAAGGATGAAATGACCGGAAAAAAGGAAAAGAAAAAAATGCACAGAACCAGATGTCGTTTATGTTAATTAACCAAACGAAAACTTACTACAGAGTAAACAGGACTGGTGAAATCGCTAAATCAAAAGTCAGTGTAAATATGATTTACTGAAAACAATCCATGAAAACAAACATTTTAATCATCATTATATCTTTGCGCTCAAAACAATACTTGCTGCTTTTTAAAAATGGCGTGAAAATTGAAGGTTTTTTGACGCTATATAAGATCAAATTTGATTGGCTAAATAATTTTGGATCCTAGCCCTGATAGATAAATTTTGTAGAAAGCTGGAAGCTAAGCTTCAATTAAATTTTTGGATGGATTCGGAGTTTTAGGTTGTTTCTCAGTAAAATCCTAACGTAATACCAGGTCGCCGTGGCAAGCCGGCATAACCCTGAGAGAAATGTGTTATTTTTCATAGTATAACATACATGATATGAAGAAAGTCATGAGAAGTTACATTTCAACCTGAAACTGTATCTAAGTACTACTTTATAATTTACCTTTCCTGCCTGTGAAAATAGCTCTCTTGCTTTCTGAAGACAGTCCTGTAAAAAAGTGATACACATTAATTATAATAAATCTTATATCATAACATTCCATCTATTTATGTACAAATGTGAAATTAACCCTTAACATACCGGAACCAAAACTGGCTATCCTTTGCCACCAGAACACAGCTAAGTCACCCTGCACAATCATGATGTCTGAAAAGGCTGAGTACTGTTGGCTAAAATCTTTTTTTATCTTATTACATCCACAGCAGATAATGGGCAGTTCCAAAAAAGGAACCTGTGAGTGACCATGTAAGAAATTAAGCATGTTAATAGTTAAGGGGTATACAGCTATATCTTAGTAAAGGGGTATACAGCTATATCTAATGAAATATTTTTTTTATAAAATTTATAAATGATGAAATTATGTTGTTTCCATTATCTTATGGTAGTTTCTCAAACGAGTTGTAACATAGAATGTCTCTTTTATTAAACATACATTGTAGTATTATAATAAATAAACAGAATAAAATGTTCCAGAACAACAAATATTATGCAGTTATTTTAAGTAAGATTTTTAACTGTTAAGCAATAAATTCTTGCATGTGCCATTCACTCTTAAGGAAACATACCAAACATTTCTATCACACCCCATATGAATTACCAAAAGGAGGTCAAAATATGCAAAAATAGCTATAATGATAAATACTGTAAAATCAGTCATTAATCGTACATAACATGTAAATTATTATGTGAACATTGAATCTTTTTTTAAAATCTTACGTTTGATTTTCTTGAAATATTATGTCTCACATGGAGGCATGCAGCTTTAAGTACAGGCAGCAGACTAATTCACTTTAAGAGATTTAATAAACCTAACAGTATAAAAATGTTTTAAAATTTTCAAGTAAAAATCTTTGAAGACTTTAAATCTTTAAATTTCAAGTTGAATATTTCTGTCAAGCTGATAAATTGAGATATTTTGATTTTTACAAAAAAACTTTAACAAAACAAACCAAAATTTCTAAGTTCCAAAGGGCATAATTCTGTTGAATATTTGTAAAGGCAGAGAGTTATCCAACTTGTTCAATCTGATTGCACCTTGTTACTATAAATAAGTTATTTTGTAAGTTTCAATTGAATTATCTCAAGCAATAATTGAGAATATTTGAACTTTACAAAAAACTTTAACACAAAATTTCTAAGTTAAAAAAGGGGATAATTCTGTCAATAAGTTGTAGGCAGAGTTATCCAAAACTTGTCAATCTGATGTACCTTGTTACTATAAATAAGTATTGATAAAGTTTCAAATTGAATATTCTCAAGCATTGATAGAGATATTTGACTTTACAAAAAACTTTAACCAAAATTTCTAAGTTAAAAAGGGGCATAATTCTGTCAATATTGTAGGCAGAGTTATCCAACTTGTCAATCTGATGTACCTTGTTACTATAAATAAGTATTGTAAGTTTCAATTGAATATCTCAAGTAATAATTGAGATATTTGACTTTACAAAAAACTTTAACCAACGCAGACGCCGACGCGGACGCTGACGCCGACGCCGGGGCGACTACAATAGCTCTCATATTCTTCGAATAGTCGAGCTAAAAATTAAAGTAAAAAGTACAAAAAAGGGTTAAGGTGTCTGCCTCTCAACCCAGGGATCATGGGTTCAAGCCCAAATTGGGTCACAGCAACTTTCTTCATGATACCAGTACTGGTTTGTTCCAGGAAGACTCAAAGTAATTAATATAAGTCGAATAACACGTTTCGCAATCGAGCTTAAATAAAAATGTTTAAACTACCAACCTTGTAATTATCAGGCAGTGGTCCTTTATTAACAAGTGGGGGTACTTTATAGCTCATTTCTCCACTGTTGTATGATATATGACCTAACCATTTCCTATCCTTAAATACCTATAAGAAAATAGCAGGGCATTCATTAGCGAATGTTTGGGAGTCATTTTACTACTTGATTTTGGCTTGTGATTTCAAAAATATTATGCTTTTACTACTTGATTTTGGCTTGTGACTTCCAAAATATAATGCTTTTCCTTCTTTACCTATATAATGTGACTTCCTATGTCAGACATCTTCAGTCTCGGACTTCCAAATTTTGGAACTTAATGGAAGCCCTGAAAATAGCACTAGGTTACATATACTACAAAGACAAGTTTACAAAAAAGTCCCTGTATCAAGAATATTAGTCAGAGCTGTATAAAACATAAAACAATTAATCCCAATAAACAAGAATACAAAATCATAAATAAGCGAGGTAGCCAAAACAAAATGCATCTTTTGTATGACTTAACATATCTTTCTTTTTCCAATATGTGCAAATTATCTACCTACTGTTTCTTTTCATGTTACAAAAAAAAGGTTGTTGCACACCTGAATTCTTTACCAGAGTTAATAACCTTTTTTTCACAACCCCAAATTGCTCCAAAAAAATGTAGCAAAATGTTCACCAAAACAAAAATGATTAAAACTGCAAAATATAATTCGGATGGTCTTCCTTTGTGATATGGTGTAACCAAATACACCATGTTTGGAGTGAAAAGGTTTAATAGTTTCCGGGAAAATGGACCGTAACTTATTACAGGTCACAGTGACCTTGACCTTTTAACCCTAAAATCAATCCAACAAGTAGACCTCACCAAGGTGCATCCACATATTAAATTTCAAAGATATAGTTTTTTAATGAAAAAAATTACTGTAAACATAAACTTATCCAAAAAGTTAAACCAATGCTAACCAGAAGATCATGACAATATCTCCATACTTTTCCATTTAAAGTGAAGTCTGAAGAATTCAATAGAACAAGCTTATACCTGAAAGTCTCTTTGCCTCCATTCACCATATTCAGGAATAAACATATACTGAAAGTAAAAATACAATTACAGCAAAATTGTATTGATCCAAAATCATTGGTGTTTACAACATGTATTCATATCAAATTATACAAATTTTGCAATACAAGTTTTACTGTCATGTCTGGACATATATGACCAAAAAATCATACATATAACAGCCACAGTGTCTTATCAATGACACAAATAGTGACCCGAGTCAGCCTACATGTCAACCATTCTTAATAAGACTGCATAATTCTAGATTTTGGAAACTTAATCCTTTATATTTACAATGCACACAGTACAAATTCACAACTTGTCAAGATAATGATAGAAAATATGAAACTTGAAGGAAATAAAAGTATGGAATATGCACAAAGATCAATGAATTTTGGTAGGCTTCATTACGCAATCTTTACCTTTGTACATATTCCATACTTTTATTTGCATCAAGTTTCATATTTTCTAACAACAAGCAAACATCATTCAGCAAGTATCAATTATTGAAATATTCAAACTTATGAGATGAAATCATGAAAGGAGGTAGTTAATATAATATTCCAACCTGAGGTAGAAGCTTCCAACCTTCCTCTGCCACCAGTTTTACAGCCTCAAGGCTATATTCTAAACTTTCTTCATCCAGAAAATATGGAAGATTTATCCTTGTAAATCCTGGCCTGAGGGGTAATTAAAACTCATATATAATCACACTCATAATCAATTTAACATATAAAAAAATGGGTCAAAGACAGAAAAGGCCGGGTTGCATTTGTACACCAAATATGAGGTTGTGATGTTACGAAAAGAATTTACCATTGACCCATTAATGTCGAAAATTTAATTCAGTGGGTAAACAGGAAGTGGATTAGCTACACACCTAAAATCGAATCCCACTGTATGGGACCATGTGTCAATGCTGTATGCAAAATATCAAGAGGCTGTGATTAGTAGTTTCTGAGAAAAATGTTATGAAAATTTCCTACCATTGACCATTAATGTGAACAGGAAGTAGATGACCAACAGACCTGAAATCAGATCCCACGGTATGGGACCATGTGTCAATGCTGCATGCCAAATATCAAGAGGCTGTGATAAGTAGTTGCTGAGAAAACTGTTACAAAAATTTCCTACCATTGACCATTAATGTTGAAAAATTTAACTTATTTAAATAAGTTGATAAACAGGAAGTGGATTAGTGACAGACCTGAAATCAAATCCCACGGTATGGGACCATGTGTCTATGCTGTATGCCAAATTTTAAGTGGCTGTGATAAGTAGTTGCTGAGAAAACTGTTACAAAAATTTCCTACCATTGACCATTAATGTCGAAAAATCTTACTAATTTAACTAAATGGATAAATAGGAAGTGGATGAGCGACAGACCTGAAATTATATCCCACTGTATGGGACCATGTGTCTATACTGTATGCCAAATATCAAGAGGCTGTGATAAGTAGTTGCTGAGAAAACTGTTACGAAAATTGCCTACCATTGACCATTAGTGTTGAAAAATCTTACTAATTTAACTAAGTGGATAAACAGGAAGTGGATGAGAGATAGACCTGAAATTATATCCCAGGGTATGGGACCATGTGTCTATGCTGTATGCCAAATATCAAGAGGCTGTGATGAGTAGTTGCTGAGAAAACTGTTACAAAAATTTCTTACCATTGACCATTAATGTCGAAAAATCTTACTTATTTAACTAAGTGGATAAACAGGAAGTGGATGAGCGACAGACCTGAAATTATATTCCACGGTATGGGACCATGTGTCTATGCTGTATGCCAAATATCTAGAGGCTGTGATAAGTAGTTGCTGAGAAAACTGTTATGAAAATTTCCTACCATTGACCATTAATGTCGAAAAATCTTACTAATTTAACTAAGTGGATAAACAGGAAGTGGATGAGCGACAGACCTGAAATTATATCCCACGGTATGGGACCATGTGTCTATGCTGTATGCCAAATATCAAGAGGCTGTGATAAGTAGTTGCTGAGAAAACTGTTACGAAAATTTCCTACCATTGACCATTAATGTCGAAAAATCTTACTAATTTAACTAAGTGGATAAATAGGAAGTGGATGAGCGACAGACCTGAAATTATATCCCACGGTATGGGACCATGTGTCTATGCTGTATGCCAAATATCAAGAGGCTGTGATAAGTAGTTGCTGAGAAAACTGTTACGAAAATATTTTCCCCGCCCGCCTGCCTGCCTGCCTGCCGCCCGACATTCACCATACTATAACCCGGATTTGCACCAGTGCAACCCGGCCAATCACAAACTTATATCCTGCCTAAAGTGACTCACATTTCTAAATAGAATTACAATTTTTTTTTTAATTAAACCATTACCAACATTTTTCATAAAAAAATATATACATGTATTGAAATTTTTTTTATGATGCTTTTACGACTCTGTATAAATGGTATTGCATGGTTGTGCATATATTTTGACGCGACATCATTTGCGTTATACAAATATAATGTAAAGATGCACTTAATGTTAGCATTACACTAGTGGCGCGTCAATAAAAACATTATTCTTTTTCACTTATTTTGGATATGTGATAAAAAAAATATTATATTTGTGTATGTATGGGTTCATTACTGAATCAATAAATTATGTATTGAAAATACACTCATTCAATATTCTCTATCTATTTATGTGAAAATAACTAGGATAAATTTATACCTAAGAATTTCCCTCTGTGAATATTCCCTGTACCTTCTTAAATGTGTTCTATCCAGTCGACTGTAATCAGAAAAGTTACATGATTATCAAATGCATTGAGAGTATTACTTAAATAAACCAAAGATGCCTTTGAGATATTATCACAAGAATAAAATGTCATATTAAAAGTAAATGAAGATCAAATTTTCATTTATTTATACTTGTAACATTAAGATATTGAATTTTAATAACAATTCACATAGAGCTTATCTTAGAAGTATTTAATAATATTGCCAATGATTTTATACCTAGAAACATGTTTTTTGTTTGTTGGATTTTTCATTACACCAGGTAGGTCATAGGTCATATGGCGACTTCCAGCTTTACTGGTGGAGGAAGACCTCAAGTGCTCTGTGCATTATTTCAGGCACAAACGGGCACCTAAGTAGAACCACAGACTTTCAATCAGCTAGCTGGATAGCTTCCTCACATGAAAGAATTCAAAGTCTCTTTCCCGATTCAAACCCTAAGTGGTGAGGAGCAAGTGCTTAAAAGTCAACTACCTTAACCAATTGGCCACAAACACCTCTAGAAACATTTCAATACAATACAAATTTACAATTCAGTAGTATAGGTATAATTTTTAATCATATTTCTCACCTGTCTTCAGCCAGTAGATGCTCAAATCTCTCACTAACCTCTTCCTCCATTCCTAACAAGTCCTGTAATAAATCATGTTAACAATACAATTAAACTAAATCAACTTTACCATATCTGGATATCATTTAAAAAGTTAATACTGTTTATATTATTTGACAACAATATTGTTTTAACAAAAATATTGTCCCTTATAGTGTTATTTTACTAAGTAAAGTACAAATTTTACTGATGCCCAATTTTGCATTGAATGGCTAAATAGAATCTATTTTGACAGTAAATTGATCCTTCCGTAAAATACACTTTAATTCCCCTTAGCTGCATTATTCATCCAAAGCTTAAGCTGACTACTGTTCCCCTATGTTTTCCCTTTTTTACTATCTAAAATAAAGTATAGAATATTGGTTCTAGCCGTTTTATTTCCCATAATTTTATCATAAAGTACAGGAAAAGGTGCCCACTTTTGCTATTTTAAGCAATGATACAGATAATAATACATTGTTTTTTACATTATTTGTTTAAGCTAAATACAGTCGTGGTATTCTTTTTTACATTTTGCACAATTTTATGATTACCAAATAATACTAGGCTCTATACTGATGGAATTCACACGTCATTGAATTACCTATTTACAGTGATATACCTTTTTTCCACTAAGTATAGAGCCAGACCAGTCTGCATATCAATCCTGTAGTCTGACCAGGCACTGTACCGATAGAAACACAATATTCTATTTTGATATTGATATCCCTTACAAAATTTGAAAAGACTGTTCCAAATTCAAAGTAAGACTTTGTTTGTTTGAATGGGTTTTACATCACACCGACACAGTATAGGTCATATAGCGACTTTCCCGCTTTACTGGTGGATGAAGACCTCAGTTGCCCTTCCATGCATTATTTCAGGCAGGAACAGGCACCTGAGTAGAACCACCTATGTTCTTTAAGCTAGTTGGGATTCTAACCCACAGCTGTGAGGAGCAAATGCATACATGCCATATTTCCAGCCACCCAGATAGGGGGATTTGGCTTTAAAAAGCAGGGGATTTGGACCAAAAGTAGGGGGATTTTTAAGCAAGCACAAACCAGTCGTAATCTTAAAACGATGCAAACATTTAATTAAATTTCCACCATTTTATTATGAAAATGAACATTTGTACAAGATCATTTGATAAGTTTTAACATACATGACTATGAAAGAATAATATGTAAACAATTGCAAATAAACATAGGTACTTTAAATATTTGAATGATGTAAATAAAATAAGAATCCCTGTAAAACAAATATAATTAATTGCATGTATATCATATAAAATACATTTTTATATCAGATATATATTGAATCATTTTAGTACAAATAACTTGAATTTGATGCATTCATAGTCATTAAAATAAATATACTTTAACCGCCAAAGTTTTTTCTCTTTAAATGAAAGGTCAAGATTTTTCTCTTTAAATGAAAGGTATCAACATTTTCACGGAGAATTTTTGTAGCCATAGAAAGGTGAAATAAACAAGAGCTGTCCGTAAGACAGCGCGCTCGACATTTTTATTGCTTGCCAATAAAAAAAGTTTTTGCAGTAAAAGGCAATACAAGAATCTCTGTATTTTTAAAGTGAACTAGTTGTTTGATACCCTTGAATATTACAGCAATGTTTATATGACATAATTTATGGTAAAGTGAACAAGTGGATAGGAATGAATTTTTTTAGATTTTTTAAGTTTTTTAGTGCTTGCCTATAATACAAAACATTGACAGTTAAGGGCCATAATTCAAATAAAATCTTTGACAGAATTACCTTCTCCTGGACATGTTTGGGAATCATGATTGTAAACAAGTATTCCAACTTTCAAATTAATATCTCAAACAGTTCAGTCAAAAAGTGGACTGGTACTAAAAACTTAACCAAGATTCTAAGTCGATAAAAGGCCTTAATTTTTAAAACAAATCCTTGACAGAGTTACCTTCTCTTGCGTACAGATGGGGGTAATGATGTGAAATAGCATTAAAAGTTTCAAAGCAATATCTCAAAGGGTTAAGGCAATAAGTGGATTTTACCCATATTCAATGTATTTTCTAAGTCAAAAAGGGGCATAATTCTGTCAAAAACCTTGACAGAGTTATGTCCTCTTGTCTGTTGATGAAGGTCGTGATGGTAAACAAGTATGGTCAGTTTCAAAGCAATACCTCCAATGGTTTTGAAATAAAGTGAGGTGGTACAAAAAACTTAACCAAGCTCAATACACTTTCTAAGTCAAAAAAGGGCCATAATTCTGTCAAAAACCTTGACAGAGTTATGTACTCTTGTCTGTAGATGGAGGTTATGATGGTGAACAAGTATGGTAAGTTTCAAAGCCATACTTGTAATACTTCTGAAATAAAGTGGGGTGGTACGAAAAACTTAACCAAGGTGTGACGCCAACGCCGACGCCGACGCGAGTAGGATAGCTCCCCTTTTCATAGAAAAGTCGAGCTAAAAAAATGCTGTCTTAAAAATTTTTCCGTTGACACTTCATAAACAGTAAAAAAAAAATCTGACACAAATCTTAATCCAGTTTACTCAGGTCAATTATGTACTTCACACCTCAATTTGTTAACACACATCGATTGCCTTATATGGCAGTAGGGAGTCTAGACACTACGTCACTTGATACCTGTATGTACATGTAAACTGTGTAATTGATGCAGGGTTGTGTAAAGGTTTTTTGGAGTGTACTGGCTACTGGATAATAATTGGACCTAATTATTTTGGCTCTTTGTGTGTTAAAACAGGTATTATTTATCTAATTGAAACGGATTTTTACCTCTTTCAATTCCTCCTCAGTGTTTGTTGCTTACTGTGAGACAAAGCTAGTTTATATTATTTTTGCAACAACATAGATCACAGTTACATAAAAAATATTAGTTTCAAACATTGCTAATCTGTGATTCTTTGAGATGCCTGAATCTGCACATATCAACTTCAAATAACAAACTGAAGGCGGGGTTACATAGCCCAACAAAAATTGATATGTCACACATTCAGTATCGGACGCTGTCATTGGTTAAGCACCTGCAATACTGACACTGATTGACAGGTTTATCAAAGGGGAATTTGTTATTCCTGTGTCGGAGTAACTAACAATACAATTATCCGTTAGACCCCTGCTGTTTTATGGGAAATTATTACTTCAGGCATATATAGTGGTAAAAGTTGTTTAAGTCTATTGTTTAATTATGTTTATTGGTGAAAATGATGTTTTAATTTTTTTTGGGTTGAATTTTTGAAAATCGGGGGATTTCGATCCCATGGCGGGAGATCGGGAGACATGGTCGAAAATCGGGGGTTTTTGTCCCCCGGCGGGGGATATGGCATGTATGCAAATGGCTTGAAGTCAACAACATTAACCACACGGCCAAGGACGCCCCAAAGTAAGACAAATCCATTATAAAAATACAGCAGGTTAAAGATAAAAACAGTTGCAAGCAATCTCTCTTCTTCAAAATATTTTAATTTAAGAAATGAAACTTGTATGAAATAGAAAACTACCATTGCGTATGGACCAGCACATGCACATCCTCCTCTAGCCTGGATCCCAAACAAATCATTGAGCAATGTACTGACATAATTATGATGTAGGAACCTGCCAGATTGTTTATGGTACACCATAAATGAGAAAATAGGAAGACGTGGTGCATCCATGTTCCCTAGATTTATCAAAGTCGGATGGTCTTTCCATACTTCTCTCGCTTTCCTGCAAGCATAAACAAAACAATAGAATTATTGAAACAGGAGTTTTGTTACAATATATTAGAAAAGGACCATTATCAGTAAATGTATTATTTGAAGTGAAGTCTTGTAACAATCATACAAGAAAATGTGCAATCATTTTGAAAATAATAGAAAAATAAAGTTGTTACACAAATTTGATGTACTAATACATACATAAATAATAATGTGTTTTTAAACACAAATGTCTACCTGTCATTGATAATATTTTAAAAAAAAGTTTTACACATTCACTCAATTATGGACAGAAAAATTGCCCAAAAAATGTTAACACATCAATCAATACATCCTAATATACTGGTTTTGGTTACATACATAGGTTAAAACTTTTCACTGAAAACAAAGCAATTGATTCATTCAACCTCAGAACCGATTTCACATAAATTATTCAACCAGCACTAACTGCTTAAAATGTTGTCAGTCAATGAACAGCACATGAGGTAAATGTTCTTTTGACTATATTCATTAAATTATGACAGTAGTGAAATAGATACATGATATAACAAGTTAGTTATATACCTCAGCATGTATTCCTCTCTCTGCAGTATAACTGCAGGTGTTACAGACTGCTTCAGCTGGAATACAAGCCCTGCTCGTATAGATTGTACAATGGCGGGTGTGCCCCCTTCCTCCTTCAACTCCGGTTCTTGTAGGTAACGATGCTGTTCTCTTCTTACCTGTATATATAATTTTAGTAATAGCAGCAGAACTTTAAAAGATAAATAATATAAACTTACGACTAACAAATTTGTTATGACATGGTAAAATAATGTCATATCAAGGCTAATGCTGTTTCTAGATTTTCCAAATTTCATGCTGTTTTCAGATTTTTTCACGAAAGAGTAGTTTTCAAGTTTAAGGTTTTAGACCCTCCAAAAATTGGTTACCAACACTTCACTTTTTGATATGTATACAAAGTAAAAGGGTGTGAACTATCAAAAGATAAGCCAAACTTTAATTCCTGTGTCTTGGACAAGAAAACATGCATGTATTTTTATATGCATACAACTGGAATAGTTTTCCAGTTCCACAAGCACAATTTTTATCATATGTTAGTTTTTACAGCTATAACTGGTAGAGATCAGCCCTAGGATAATTGATAATTGCAATCACTGATTTTTTTAATTGATTACATGATTACACTGTAATCATCATGTAATTGATTACCTTGCCAAAAATTGATATCATTAATTGTAATTAATCTATTATAGCTTAAATTCAGTCAGTAATTATGATTACAATTTGATTGACATTGTTTACTTTAAGATTCCACTCTACTAGAGGAATACATTGTATATACATCCATAACTATTTTCAGGCAGATATGGGCACCTTTGTAGAACCCAAGTTGTTCAGTGAGTTAGCTGTATAGATCTACAAACTTACAAAGAACACAGATCCACCACCGCAACCGTCAGGTACAGTGTTCCGGAACAACTTCTTCTTAGCTATCAATACACCTGTTAATAGAATGTTAATTTAAAACAATGAACAATGGAAATATATATTTGACAGCTAATTTAAACCATTTTACTCTTTTTCCTTAAAGTCTGAAAATTATAACAGCCAACTAATTTCCATATTAATAGTTCTTCTTTATGCTAAAACCACATAAATGTAAAAGATAAGGGTCATTTGGCAATTTTTTAGTTTTAAAGGCTGAACTTTTCACACTGACCTTACTGTTTCTGAGAAGCTGCTTAAATCATCAAAATTTACATCAAAACAAAATTAGCATCAACAAAATTTGAATTATCAAATCTTACAACAAAATTTACATCAACAAAACTTACATCAAACAAAATTACATCAACAAAAGTTACAGCAACCAAGTTTACATCATCAAATTTGTTAAATGTTACCTGGTGTTTGTACTCCACCAACAAACTTATGACAGGAAATAAAGACAGCATCCTTGTACATGTATGGCTGGTCTTCACTGTAATATAATTATATCAGTAAGCAACAGATGGTAAAATAATACAATATAATTGACTGATTACTAGCATATTCTGGAAACAATTATATAAAACATTTTTGTACAAGAACCTTGAAATATTTAGCTTTCCACATGCCTACTTTTAATACTTGCAGGTATTAATACAGGATTTAACTCACTAAAGTGTTGGAGTAGTACCTATTGACACGTTACAGAAATCATGATCACAAAGTAAATAAATATTGTGCTTTTTGCCAATTGTTACATTTTTCATTCATTATTGTATATAAATTGGTGTGAAAGAGATGAATTAGACATTCTAAAGTTCATTCTGTTGGGTGAAAAGACAAGATTTTAGCATTTAATTGTTCAAGTGCCTTGTCTGGTATATACTGGAATATAGTTTTTAGTGTGGTGCTCCAACATTATCTTAGTCTCATTTATGTATAAATTTTCTTCAACCACATTTACTGATATGAATTTAGAAAACAATTGAACAACCCAACAATAATGTTTTAATAATCTTACATATCTAATTAGAAATAATGACAGTAAGTTTCACCCTGCCAATATATAAAGAATATTTACAATGTATAGTAGTTATTAAATGACATCTGAACCAATAGAAATACTGAATCATCCATGAGAAGAGCTGTAAAGAATTTTGATTGGTGATATGTCACAGTTTATATGGCTGTCAGCTTATTCAACAAACACAAGCTACTAGACGCAGATTATATAGTGAAAAATTGATAAAAGAAGTCATATAACCTATCAAAAGCATTCTAAATTATTAAAACTTTACAATACCTTTATTTGAGACAAAAAATTTAAAATTAATTCATGAAATTACAGTTTCCTTGTATATAGATAATATAAATATCTTGTCTATCTGATGAAAATTCATATTAGAACATGCAGTATTATACTTCAATCATGGGACTGATACTTAAAATATTAGTGGTTTCTATCTTAAACCACTTTGAACCAATACAGTCCAATATATATTACTGGATAATAAAATTATCTTAAATTTTCCAAATCTAACTTTTTTGGACACTGGGATAATTTTGATATGATCATAAGATGTATAAAACATTATAACGACAAACCTCACTGCCACTGGGTTCATATCAATATTAACATAAGGTGCAGCAGTAGCATAATCCCAGAATACAAGAGCTCCGTGTTTATGTAAAGTAACAGTAATGGCATTCACATCAGATAAAATTCCGGTGATATTTGACGCGGCACTAAAACAACCAATCATTTGACGTCCTGTTACCTTCCATTTCTGTAATATATACATAAATCACATACAATATTGATACAACTTAAGAAAAATGAATGTGTTTTGATATGAAATCCTTGACATCATTAATGAGCAGTGTCACGATAAAACCAACATAATGGGTTTGCGTCCAGCATGGATCCAGATCAGGATCCATGCTGTTCGCTAACAAAGTCTATAACAAGTAAGGAAACTGATAGCGAACAGCATGGATCCTGATCAGACTGCGCGGATGCGCAGGCTAGTCTGGATCCATGCTGGTCGTAAAGCCATTATGTTGGTTTTGTCATGACGCGGCTCATTTATTTAAGAGTTAAAATTCTTTACATTCTACAAGATTCCAATGAGGATCATGAGTTATATAATTATATCCAGCCCCAACTCTCCTCGCCATTTCTGAAGAACTCAAAAATTTTAATAGTAGAAACAAAGTTGGCATTCATACTGAATTTGATAATGTTTAGCCATTATATTGCTTAATAATAATGTGAACCTGAACTTAAATCAAACAATTAGGGCTAAAAACATAATACAATGGAAATAAAACCACATGAAAATGATCATAACTCAACATTAAGAGAAACTTTTTCATAATTTACATCCTAGAACATTTTTAAGATGAAGAACTTCATATTTTGCTAGACTACATGTATTTCAACAGCTAAAATATAGTTACCAGTTAATTGTTCTTTCAGGAAATTTCATTGACAGAGTGTTTCATGATTCAGACATTGTTGTATTGCCTCTAATCATGATATTATTGTCTTACCTCCAGTAATAATATTAGATGATTGACATCAACAAGACCTGTTTTATCTGCTTTCACTTGTAAAATCTGAAATTTACAAATATAACTATAAAAATACACTATTAACACATTTGCTTCATTTCTGTAACATTAATGTTATGCTTCTTGCATTACATCCTTAACTTATTTTTCTCCAGAAACATTGTCATATCTTTCTATGCAAAGATGTTTATCTAACCAAAACATGAAACTAAGTTTAAATATAAATTTGAATAAAATATAATGTTGTTTTTTTTTTTTTTAATGCCATTGGTTTGGGTTTTATGTCAAATTATCAAGGTTATAGAGAATCATTCTAACTATTCTAGAGCAGTTAACCGTAGATGACTCGCTGTGGTTTTCTTCAGACATGTTATGGTGGCTAGGTCAGGCCTTCAACCTTCTATGAACTAGCTAAACAACATATAATATGAAGTATTCAATGTTCCTGAATGATTCAAATCAATTAGCTTAAGGGGCAAATGATTTGTCAAGTTACACTGACTATTTTCGTATGTATACTCATAACATTTTGTTTCTCCCTTTTTGTTATTACACTAGAATAAATTACATTTTTGTATGTCGTCTATGACAAGGAAAAATATATCAAATCTTGTAAGAATTATCAACAAAACAAAAGCTAATTTGTTTCATTATTTGCTGTTACTTCCATGCATACCTTTGCACCAATTTCTTTCCATGGCAGCAAGTTAGAATGGTGTTCATATGGTCCAACCAATACAACCTGAAAATTGTAAGTGCAAATATCAAGATATCATTTTTCTTTTTACATCACAATATTATGAATTAGATGAAGACCATGCATTGAGCTGGAGTAAAATAAGTGCATAAACAAGTGCCGTCAAAGGAGCAGAATACCCTACCTGGTAACTTTCTCAGTACTGGATAGTAAATAGACTGGGAAAAGCACTGTTAGTATTGAAGTTAATCATCTTGAACAATCAGTTAACCAAGATGATTTACAAAGGCCAATGCTACCAAGATGGGTCATGACATTAGCTCCACTTTTCTTTGAAAAAGTGACATTTCAAGTCCATTCAACATTCAACTTAAAGCTCCAATTTGAAAACCATGTGTGGAAAAAAATCAACAGTTTAAATAACCTTGTGTGGAATAGGTATCTAGAATTAATAACCTTGTGTGGAATAGGTATCAAGGATTGAATCAACTTACAGGTTTATGATCTAGATGGAGACCATGTATAAGTTTATGTATAGCTGCTGTTGAACCACTGCCTACAAATATCACAGCATCGTGTTCGCTGGCATGTACTGCATTTCGGATTATATCCCTGCAAAACAAAACTTAAATTGAATTTCATTCAAGCTTTACTTTTCTAAATCACTTCAACAACTTTTCAAACAGAAAAACTGTATTAACATTTATCGATATGTTCAATCAAATGCACAATGAATTCTGAAAATTTAACATCATGAATGATCCAAAATAAGCTATAAATCTTTGATAAATATGCAATATCTTAATGTCAATGAACCAGAGTAAAAAACCTTTATCTGCTGACATGGCTACATTTCTGTACCAAATCATTGCTATATCTGTTTATTATACCTTAATAATTCATACCTTAATCATAACGAGATTTATAATTATAACATTTTTTTCAATGAAATAAAAGTGATTTTTAAAACAAACATTTACCTGGCCTCATGTCTATATAGGGTAGTCTGCAATGAAGAAACATTTGTTGTAGTATGGGTATTTCCATACTCTGGTAAAACTTCATTCCGTATATAATCTTCTATAAAGTTTAAAGACCTGAAAAAGTTAGAAAATAAAACAATCAAATACATATATATAACTGGTTTCTTCTATTGTCAGTTTAAAACCCTTCTCCTTAGACATGACTTATAATAGAACAAAATTATGATGTTCTTTTACATGCACTGTGTAGAGCACCAATACACGTCCAACCTTAATTTTAAGGGTCTTTAATTTTGTTTGAAGAGGAGCAGGGGGTCAAACTTATAACCACTGGATTAATAGATAAACCAAGCCAATTAATATAAACCTTTTTAATAATTTCATTATATTATGTTAAGCATTATACAAAATAAAATAAATGATACCTTCCAGATGCTGTGTAATCAAGGTATAATGCTGAAAAAAAAATTGACTCATCTTGTATTGAAACATATTAATAAATAAATTCAACAAGTTATATTGTCATTATTCATTCACTGCTAAATGAAATATTCTAAGGGGGAAAAAAGGAGTGAGAATGAGACAAAATGGGTAAACCCAACAACAAAGTTGGTTAAACTTACAGCGGAGCAAGTGACCTTTACCTATAACCACTCCACCATAATGTTAATATATTAAATTAAAAATTATCCCAGTTTTGTGCAACTCTAATACAGTTTATGAAGCATGTGATCTTAAGTGTGTTTATCGGCCTTGCTTGCCTAATTGGCTTGCCAACAGTCATTTTACTCTTTAAGAAAAAGTAAATTTTTTATTGACACAAACACCAAGCATGGTTTTGTTGAATGGAATGGAAACTTGTTGATCTGTAATACAGACATATTTCTACAAAAATCAACACATGCTTCCAGCTAAAATGCAAACAGGATGTTTCTGCCCCAAACAAATTGGCCCCAACTGGTGCAACAAGAGCTGTCGGTAGGACAGCAACGCTTGACTATTCTAAGTGCTTGATAGTAAAAAAAGATGCTTGATACAGTTACCTCCTCCTGTTTACAGGTTGGGGTAATGATGGTGAACAAGTGTGCAAAGTTTCAAAGCCATATGTCAATGAACTTTGAAAATATTTGAGGTATTACAAAAACTTTAACATAAATTCTAAGTCGAAAAAAGGGCATAATTCTGTCAAAATGCTTGATAGAGTTACCTCCTCCTGTCTACAAGTTGGGGTCATGATGGTGAACAAGTGTGCAAAATTACAAAGCCATATGTCAATGGACTTGGAAAATATTTGAGGTATTACAAAAACTTTAACATAAATTCTAAGTCGAAAAAGGGGCATAATTCTGTCAAAATGCTTGATAGAGTTAACTCCTCCTGTCTACAAGTTGGGGTCATGATGGTGAAGAAATGTGCAAAGTTTCAAAGCCATATGTCAATGGACTTTGAAAATATTTGAGGTATTACAAAAACTTTAACGTAAATTCTAAGTCGAAAAAGGGGCATAATTCTGTCAAAATGCTTGATAGAGTTACCTCCTCCTGTCTATAGGTTGGGGTCATGATGGTGAACAAGTGTGCAAAGTTTCAAAGCCATATGTCAATGGACTTTGAAAATATTTGAACTATTACAAAAACTTTAACATAAGTGGTTACGCCGACGCAGACGCAGACGCTCGGGTGACTGCAATAGCTCTACCTATTCTTATTGAATAGTCAAGCTAAAAATCAGTCCAAAGGTGTTTGACACTTTTCGCGAAACGTTTCTTTTAGAAATTTAAATTAGGAAGTGGTTAGCTGTACAGGCCCGTACCCATTTTTTTACTTCATAACAAATAAATGCAATGACAAAGTCAGTAGCTTGCATGTCTTAAATAACATTTTCACAAAGAATGATAATATTTACTTTTCTAAATAATTTTTACGGATGATGATGTGTATGTCAAGCCTGTGATTGACCAGACAACGTGCTTATGCAATCGTGAAAAACAACAGGGCTGCATCTTTAAAAGAAAATTTTGATGCCCGCTTAAAGTGATCAAGATAAAAAAATATTACAAATGTTGTATTACATCTATATTGCCCATAGAAATGATTAAATAATGTTATAATTATTCGCAAGAACTATTATTGTTAAAATCTGTGATTTTCAGAGGGAAAACAGAACTTTGGTTCATCAAATGCAAAAACTAATATGTATCTTTAACTGCAATTGATAAAGTTTTCATGATATTTAACAAAATCTCTGTTTGCATATTCATTATTGTTTTAGGTTATTAATTTCAAAATGCCGTACAGGCCTGTATTACTAGCCACTGCCTTTAAATGATAGGAAATGTTCATGTCATTTTATACTTCTCATTGCCCCTCGGAGTGTGCTTGTCGCTGAGAAGGCAAATGGCATCGGCAGAAGATTTGAAGACTTGGGATGGAGCAAAAGATCAGAACTTGTACTGCGGACCAACTGCAGATGACTAATGCAGAGGGGAGTGGCCCTTCAAAGTAGGCTTTGAATTGACGAAGATGGTGTGCAAGTGTGCGTGAGCGATGGACCCTCATTTACATACACACATATCATTTTATAGTACATGTATATGAGTTCACAGGCAGTCGGTGTGTGGCTTGGATCATATACATGCCCACTTATTTTTATAAATAATTTTTATTTCACTAAAAAAATATTTCTTTCACTCAAAATGTTTTTAAAATATATTATGTTCAATAAAACAACAAAGGAAAACTGTTTTTAAAAAATTTCTTCCATATATATACTATAAATTTATATAGTAAAGGTAGAATGGTTCGCCAGCGGACCTACCACCAGGCCTTATGTTACCTCTCAGATCTTTGTTAATTGTCAACCAATTTTCACCAAATAAAGTGCAAACTACGCAGAAATGATTTCTCTTTCGAACAAGAACCGGTTGAACCAGGTGATGCTCCCCGAGAAGGTTCTGGACACAGGAAAGTATAAAAAAAATGAACAAAGGGCAAAAACTCCAAAATTAGGCAAAGCGGAGTTATGTTTTTTTGCACTGCACTTCTATTCAATGAGATCTTTCTATCTATAAAGTTTCCTGATGATATCAGAATTATGTCCCAGGTAAAAGTTTCCTGATGATATCAGAATTATGTCCCAGGTAAAAGTCAAAGTGTAAAAATGAACAAAGGGTAATAACTCCAAAATTAGACCAGGCTTTGTTTAGGTTCTTTAAGCATTGCAATTCTATCCAATTATATCTAGCTACCTACAAAGTTTCATGTTGATATCACTAATAGTTTTAAAGTATTGTCCAGGACAAAAGTCAAAAAGTAAAAATAAACAAAGGGCAATTACTTCAAAATAAGGCAAGGCAGAGTAATGATTCTTAAGCACTGCACTTCCACCCAATGAGACCTATCTATCTACAAAGTTTCATGTTGATATCTCTTATAATTTTAGAGTAATGTCCCAGACAAAGTCAAAGTGTCAAAATGAACAAAGGGCAATAACTCCAAAAGTAGGCAAGGCAGAGTTACGGTTCTTGTGCACTGCACACCTACTCAATGAGATCTATCTACCTACAAAGTTTCATGTTGATACCTCTTATACTTTTAGAGTTATGTCCCGGACAAAGTTCAAAGTGTAAAATAAACAAAGGGGAATAATTCAAAAATAAGGCAAGGCAGAGTTACGGTTCTTGTGCACTGCACACCTACTCAATGAGATCTATCTAACTACAAAATTCATGTTGATACCTTTTATACTTTTAGAGTTACATCCCGGACAAATTTCAAAGTGTAAAATAAACAAAGGGGAATAATTCAAAAATTAGGCAAAGCAGAGTTACGGTTCTTCTGCACTGCACACCTTCTCAATGAGATCTATCTACCTACAAAGTTTCATGTTGATACCTCTTATACTTTTAGAGTTATGTCCCGGACAAAGTTCAAAGTGTAAAATAAACAAAGGGGGATAATTCAAAAATAAGACAAGGCAGAGTTACCGTTCTTGTGCACTGCACACCTACTCAATGAGATCTATCTGCCTACAAAGTTTCATGTTGATACCTCTTATACTTTTAGAGTTATGTCCCGGAAAAAGTTCAAAGTGTAAAATAAACAAAGGGGGATAATTCAAAAATTAGGCAAGGCAGAGTTATGGTTCTTGTGCACTGCACACCTACTCAATGAGATCTATCTACCTACAAAGTTTCATGTTGATACCTCTTATACTTTTAGAGCTATGTCCCGGACAAAGTTCAAAGTGTAAAAATAAACAAAGGGGAATAATTCAAAAATTAGGCAAGGCAGAGTTACGGTTCTTGTGCACTGCACACCTACTCAATGAGATCTATCTACCTACAAAGTTTCATGTTGATACCTCTTGTTGTTTCAAAGTTATGTTCCGGACAAGAAAAGGGGACGGACGGACAGACGGACGGACGGAAAGACGGACGGACGGAAAGACGGACGGACGGACAAGGCGGCGACTATATGCTCCCCCGAAATTTTTTCGGGGAGCATAAAAATGTACAATATTAGACCAGTTGGTATGACAAAAGAAGGAATTTGAAAGCGAAAATGCACTTTTGTCTAGGTTGGACATCGCTTGATCGAGCCGGAAGTAGAAGATATTGAACATAAATTGATCTTTTTCTTAATAACAAACTAATGTCAGTGCATGCAAACAGTTAAAACAGAAAAGGCAGCTATAATACTATCGCTTACAGGTCCAAATTTAATCCAAAACATCTGCAGGTAGGCTTTTTCAGTAATTATTTGCACTAACTTTTTAAATTTCCCCGACATACAAATGCTGACCCAGATATACCTGATGCGTACCTCTTTTCGCGTAGTAAAGATTGAGCGAAGCTGGGTACAAGGCATGCAGACTTTGAATATATGGATCAGGATTAGTATACATGAACATTGTCGGGAAATTTATGTGTACTATCCAATAAGGCCCCCACGATTACACGTTTAAACGGATTCGTTTCAATTTTCATTCATAAACGTTTACGATATTTTTATCTGTTTAATCGAAATGACCATATTGTCTTACAAAATATCTTAATTGCCTGAAATCATGGATTTGATCAATCCTTGTGGTTTATTCCAAAGTCAAAAACAGAAAATGGGTGTTTACAACCCTCCACACAGCATTACCATGCAAAATTGCCATGACATACTACATTTTTGGTAAAAAAAGGGGATACAATGTGTGCTGACTCAACGCAGAAAATGTGTGCTGACTCAATCGTGATGAGCCCTGCACATTCTTTATTTGTACATGTATTAAAAATAGAAAGCAAGACATCATTTGGCGACTCAAATACATGGTGTGTATAGTACATAGAGGTGCCACCGTTTAAACGGTATCGTTTCGGTTCTTAGCAATCGTGTAAACGTTTACAAAAATTTGTAAACGTGGGAGTCTTACTATCCAAGGTACGCACCAACTGCCTGTGTATCAGTTTAGGTCTCTGACTAAATATAACAGATAAATTGACATAAAACATTTTTTTAATATGTGTTCGCAGTATTTGAAAATTACAAATATCAAAAAAAATCTAGAACATATACTGATTTGCTCTAAGTTGAGTAACGTGTTTTTCAGTTGGAAGTGGCTAGCCTTACGGGCCTGTAGGGCTAGCCAAAAGTTCTAGCCGTACGTGAGTCACGTACGACTAGCCTGGACACACTGTATTGGCTAGCCGTACAGCACTTTTCAAAATTATATGGAAGTCGAAAATGCATATGTTATTTTGTGTCTTGAAACAATGATTTTAATCAAATCTCCTCATTTGTCCTAGTGTGTTCACTTAAATAAAGATACTCCGCAATTTTGCACACACAAAAATGAATACGAGTAAGCGTTGTATAATCTATCTTAATAAAATTAAGTGTCAAAGTTGCATGTTATAACGTCCTTAATTTTCATGCTTATGATTTGTATGAAAGATGAATTGTTCAATCTGTTAATTGAGCACATGGATCGAATAAAGAATGATCGGAGGGGAATAAATAAAAAGAATATTAAAAAAAAAGTGAAAAGGAAAAATAATTTAATAATGCAAACTTTTCTTAATAATGGACGATGGACAAACTTCTATACCGTCGGTAATTGGCGCAATTATCATACCCAACAACAATTATTTTCGGTGTTTTTTTTTTTTTTGTTGTTTTTTTTTCAATTTAAAAATTAAACGTAATGAAACAAAAAAGGATTATTATCAAAATTTTGTAAACTATTTCTATTGATGTTATTTAACTGCAACCAAACGCTATTTTTTTCTCGACGTCTTGAGATGACAAAGTAAATTCTTTACTGTAGCCAACACGTCGATTAATCTCTAAAAAGCAAACATTCTTGACTAAAATCCTCGCTTTAAGTAATTACTAAAATATGCACTTTCGCCTTCCATATATTTTTGAAAAGTGCCGTACGGCTAGCCAGTACAGTGTGTCCTGGCTAGTCGTATGTGTCTCACGTACGGCTAGAACTTTTGGCTAGCAGTACGGGCCCGTACGGCTAGCCACTTCCTTTTCAGTTTAGTGATGCAACGCAACTGATCGCGAAATCATATGACAAACCTTTCCTCAGACCAAATGGACCACTAAAGACCTTGTCACCTCCTATGATATTACGGAAAATATAAGGTAAAAGCGATTCTTTATCACATTGTTGTTGGATTTCGTCATTTTCTTCTCTTTTTGGCAAAGAATAAAATTGTCTATCCTTAGCGGATGTCATTTTTAAGATGTGCTTGATTAACGTGATGAAGAATAGGTTCCATCTCCATTCGATTTATGTAGCAGAATAACTAGTTAAAATCGAAACTTCAGTATAATAAGTTCGACAGAAAATAAATAAATAAATAAATAAAAATGAATGAATGAATGAATAAAAAATAAATAAATAAATAAAGAGATAAATAAATAATGAATAAATGAATACAGAAGTAAATAAATGAATTAGAAATAAAAAAAATTAAACATATCACCCCTTCTTAAATAAATAAATAAATAAATAAATAAATAAAAAATAAATAAAAAAATAAATAAATAAATAAATAAATAAATAAAGAAGTAAATAAATAAATAAATAATAAATAAAAAAATTAAAATAAAAAAAAAACACTCTTCTGATTTTTAAAATGAATTAAAGATCCTGTAAGACATTTTTTTCATGGTTTTATTTCAAAGATATGATGCTCAAATTAAGATTTGTTAATATTTTAAGTTCCAATAAGCATTATTTATAAAGATATTACCGAATTTAAAATTTCATGTAAATAAAGGGAGGTGATTAGAAATTTATTTTCTATAAATTCTTAGCCAAAGTTTCAATTAAGAAATGAATGCATATAATTTATTGATTAAATATAATGTGCATAAATATTTGCAGTACACATTTTACATATTCTTCGGTGTTTGAAAATTGTTTTATTTGCATAATTATATACATATATAATGTTTTGCAAGTGTGGTATACAAACACTAACAATATCAATCACAAAACATACAGGATCTTTAAACCATTCCTATTGCCGTTTAGGCTACAGTAATGATTTTGATAAAAGGAATCTAAGAAAGTATATTCTTAATCTAGTAAGACAACCGTGATGTTAAATGTGTTATCCCAAATACTTATAATTCCAGCCAAGGTTTGAACAACGTCACGGATTTATATTACAATATAAATCCGTGTCAGGGCGTAGGCCTATCATTCCATCTAATGAATATATATACACTTAACAAAAGTTCTAACCGATCACTTTTTAAATTTTGATTATTTTATAACGGGTCAATAGATCCTTATAAAATTTTGCAGAGGTGATTTTTGTGTCATTTTCTACCGATTTGTGGAAAGAAAAATAATTTAATACGGTTTCATGTACTCGCGCGGGAGACAGGGCGCGGTTTACACATTTTGGCACGAAATGTTCGTGCAGAGCCTGGTGAGTATTAAATTTTACATTGTTAACTTTATAAGTGAAAAAACATAAAACATGGCACGAATGTCGATGCAGAATCGTGCCGTAGCAGTTGGAATGTTGAATAGAATAGAATAGAATAATGTTTTATTACCAATCATGGGCCTTCTCAGGCATACAATTACATAAAATATCAGTACATTAAATGTACATAAACAAAACAATAATAAGATAACATAAGCTAATTCTTATTTGATAACACAATTAACAAAGGACTAGTAACTATATGTATTCAACAAAGGCATTTTAAATGACAACACATAAAAGAAATAGAATTTGTAAAAAACCTCAACAATAACTAACCCACAATATCTTTTGAGATGCACATTGACAAAGACTAATTAATGATGTTATAAATAACTACAATTACTTATTATGCATAAAAGTTCTATTATTGTTGTACTGTATAAATGTACTTGACTGAAATGATTATTTATACAATCAGCTATTGACCTATAAACGCATATTAACATGATGATTGTTTTACACATATTTGAATGTATTTGACCCCTCACTAGTATGTGGGAAAGATACTTCTATTAGATTGGAAAATAATCTCACAATTATTTGGCATTTTTAAGTTGTTGTAAATTTAAGTGACCGTATGTTATAACACTGCCATATATAAGATGCAGTAAGTTCAATAAACTTTTCATTTTCATTGCTAAGCAAAAATATAAATCGATCTTTACAATTGAGTGTAGGAAAGTTTTTACATAAATCAGCACATTCTTTAAGGTAAATGCTTCTAAAAGTGTCATATTTAGGACATTCAAGCATGAAATGAATTTCATCTTCTGTTTTCCCTAGATTGCACATTTTACATAATCTCTCTGAGATAGGAATATTTTTGTATCTACCACATTCTATTTCTAATCTATGGGCACTTATTCTAAATTTTGTATAGCATGATCTTAAATCTTTAATGTTGAATGCTGGAGCCTCAATCACACGGGTGAGTGGCTGGTCATAATTTTTTTTTTAATCTCGATAAAGTATTATTTAAATAGAAAATGTTATAATGTTATTATTCTCAATGTGTTCATTCTCTTTGAAATAAAATAAATAATAAAATAAAATAAAAGTCGGATCTATTAGTATTTTTCTTTTTCATGTATAAGCGAAAACTCAGGGTGATCGGTTAGAACTTTAATTTGTTCAGTTTGTATATTGCTCAAAAGCCAACATTTTGTCCCCGCACTGGCAGGTTAATGCAAAGGTTAAACCTATAAAACCTTTTGTAACTTCCATGCCATCTAAATCAGCGGGTATGTCTAACTTCCGTTTTTGGAACATTTAACAATGATTCTGCCGCATCGATCAATGTCTATTTTACCGAGACTTGACTTTGCTCTCCCCAATCTATTTCCCGGTTGTGGGTAAGTTTGCAATTGGAATAAAGAAAGGTGTATACGTTGGGGATAACTGAATATAGTTATAAAGATCCTATTATAAATAGAGTATCCATAATTATTTGTTATAAAAGACACAATGTTGACCCCAAAATTGAAACGCATATGTCAAGTGATCGTGGGCACCGTTGTATGCAGTTAAAATCGTATTTCGGAAATATGAGTTATCCGCTGAGCAGGTGCGGCGCATGACTAACGGTATATTTTTTAAGGTAGGGGTAAAGGACAAAATTATATATGCATGAACGAGACACATAAACAGGATTTATTTGGGTTTTTTTAACATACATTACCACGGAACCTATAGCTACGCACGACGTAACTTTCCCTCATTCCCGTGCTCTGACGCACGCGTAAACTTTCTTCCAACTTTGAAAAATCCCCATTTAGTACGGACTAATTAAAGAGGCAATAGTTGGAGGTGGGGGTCTCTATGGAAATGCTTGCTTACTCTACCAAGTACCACTCCAAATGAATAGGAATAGTACCATCTGCAAATATGTTTTCCTGGGTTCCATATATGGACGGCGATTGATTGTTTGCAAATTCTTCAAGAGCATATCGCCACACTTATGCTTTTGATCTATTTGATAAATTGATCTTTTTAGAAGCCGTATCGATCATAACTCCTCAACGAGTTACGTTCTTGTGTATTTTAGTCGTCTGTTTATAGACGGGTACAATGTATTATATTACGTACCTGATATAGCATACAAAGGTTACATGTTTGAAGATCTTTAACTTTAATCAAATCGAAAGAGTGATATGTTGTTTTTAAGAAGTGTGATTCTGTTATTGATAGGTCAATGTTGTGGATTTGATAAATGTAAGTGATTTCTTCCCTAACACATTGTTATAAACAAAACTATACTATTATAATGTTATACATATACCGATTGCTTTACGAATTTAAATAGTTGTCAAAAGTTAACCTATACCTATATATATATATATATATATATATATATATATATATATATATATATATATATATATATATATTATATATATATATATATATATATATATATATATATATATATATATATATTATATATATATAATATATATATAGGTTTGTGAAAAATATATTTGCATCTACAAAACACCTTTCAAAAACACTGGATCCCCCAACAAGGATACAAAAACGTAGACTAACAATAAATTGGGAGAAAATAAACGTTCATACAGTGCTAAAGTATAAATACCCAAGTACTTTCGGCGTATTATGCGTCCATCAGGGTGTATTACAAAACAAAAATCTCTATACATGTGTACTGATATCAAAAATTAAACTGAAACACAGTCGCTAGAAAGGTGATAAAATTGCATGCTTTATGAAAGACCGTTATTGAATGGTCATTGTGTATTACTTTACAAAAGAGAATATAGCCTGCGGTCAATATGGCATAAACTCGGTTAAATATATCTATAAAACTGTGTTTTAAAAGAAAAAAAATATATAAACTAAAAAAATTTTCACATATAAGGGCGTTTTGTGTTTTTATTACTATAAGTATGATGTAAGAAAATGCAAGTTACAAACAGTATGATGTTATATGAAGTGGAAATTTACGATAAGGTGAAAATGAAAAACGAAGCTCTCAGGTGTGTGTATATATATATATATATATATATATATAATATATATATATATATATATATATATATATATATATATATATATATATATATACACACACTCGTACATTGTACACGAATCGATATTGAAATCTTTATCACAAGTTTGCATTGAATCTCGAAACTAATGGAATTCAGTTCAAAAGGTTTTTGTATGATATAAAGTGCAAATTGTTAAAAACCCTTTTTTTTATAAAATGATTCCTTAAATTTGATTTTATACATCTAATTTAATAAATCATTATTGAACCTACACTCACATTCATTATCCTTTATATACTTTTTTGAGATCTATAGGAAATTCAGTTAAGTCATTCATATAGGTGAAGTTAACTAGCGTTTTACGCTCGCGAAAATTCAAGTATGCTATAACTGCAACAATATTGAATGGCGATTTGGGGAAGTTTTCACAATTGATTAATGGCAGATTGTGATGCCCTAGATTCTAATTAAGTATCACCAACAACTTTAAAACTATTGTGACTACTATGGTGGCCGGTTGCTGCCATTTCAAACCCGCGAGAAATTTTATCGTTTTTTTTTTTATTAAATGTCGCGGGGAACTTACAAACCTGCTGAAATCGTACAAAATGTCGAGGGGAACGTATAGAACTCAATATTTCATAACAGTTGTTAGAAACAGCGAGGAACATTTTGACACGAGTTGCAGGTAGCCTCCATGGTTTGACTTTACATTTTATCCCTCGTTTGTCTGTAAAAGTCAAGGAACTATGGAATGATTTGTGCCATTCGCATTTTCGTCCGGCGACCCCGCCAAGCGAAAAGTCGAATATCAAAAAGGTGAAATGGCGGAGGCGCGGAGCGAAAACACGCTAATAAGCGAAGTCGCAGGGCAAAGTTTAAGAAATAAAACTTCGACTCGCCAGGGCGCGGAGCGAGATTTAAGAAATAAAACGGGGGGCGCGAAGCGAAAACACGCTTTATAGCGCCCACGATAATTAGCGCGATTTCGTTCCACGCCCCCGCCATTTTAACTTGTTTATTATTGACTTTTCGCTTGACGGGGTCACGGGACGAAAACACGTTAATTTATTAATTAAACTTCGCCCAGCGACCCCGCTATTTAGCGTGTTTTTCGTCCCGCGACCCCGCGGTTTAATTTCTTATATCTCGCGCCTCGTCCCTGCGGGTCGAAGTTTTATTTCTTAAACTTCGCCCAGCGACCTCGTAAATAAGCTTGTTTTCGCTCCATGCCCGACCATTTTGATTTGTTTATTCTCGACTTTTTGCTTGATGGGGTCACGGGAATTATCATGCTAATTTGCGAAGCGCGCGGCGAAGTTTATTTTATCAAACTTCCCCCCGCGACCCCGCTTATTATCGTGTCTTCGTCCCCGTCCCGCGACCCCGCCGTTTTATTTCTTAAATCTCTCTCCGCGCCCCGCGGGGCGAAGTTTTATTTCTTTAATATTCGCCCTGCGCTCATGCTTGTAAGCGTGTTTTCGCTCCGCGCCCCGCCACTTTAACTTGTTCATTTTCGACTTTACGCTTGACAGGGTCGAGGGGCGAAAACACAAATGGTATAAATCAGCTTCCATAAGGAACAGAGAGAAAAAAAAACAACACTTAGCGTCATTTTCGCAAGTGTTTCTACAAAGGTAAAGGCAACCAATTTTAGGCCGCAACTTTTTATTATTCAACAACAATCTCATAAAATATCGCGGCGAGTAATAAGTTTTCAGCCGGAGACATTTTCCAGCATAAAAAGTCGAGACTCAATGCTAAAACTTGACTTATTATAAGGTATGCATCAGAACAACATATAATCTGTATCGCAGATTATATTGGCCAAAACCGACTACCTAAAGTTGCGTCGCTTAGTCAACAAAACAAAATATTCATTAGTTTATATATTGTTGTTTATGTAACGTCAGATTAGTTTTATTTATTCAATTTCAGTTAACATTGAAGAGAACTGCGGTAAATCTATTAACAGCTTTGCGGGGCAGCTTACTAGTAAATTTGATTCGTCAAAATATAACTCAAAATTAGTTGGAGGGCAATGCCGTGTCACTATCAAACTTGAGAGTTCGTTGTTTACGTCAAAGTCGCACGTGTTGTTTTATTTCACAAAGGTGAATCTATTTCCCTCTTGTAATGCAGGCAATATAACATTTCTCGATGGTGACAAGAAGTTGGCGATTAAAGGTTCGTACCTTAAAATATGTTTTACATAACTTCTATGAACATCTTGTATTATACAGTGCAATATGCCAATAATACCCTTTGATCTTCAAAATGGGGCCTGAAATTGTCTCTTTTAAATCATGTGAAAATTTACCATACACAATTTTGGCTAATTTCTTAACGTATATTTGAAAGCGCTCAGTTGAAGAAATATTTGCCGCTGATCCTAGTCATTCAAACTCTTACCGAATTGGAATTTTACATGACACATATCGCAACACAAATCCATTTTATAGATAGAGCCCTTACTGGACGTATTATTTTTTTCAAAAATTTGCGCTATCTGCAGTTTGTGTTAAAGTTTAAATAAACGTCACCAAACTCTGTTAATTTTACAATTAGCTATCTACTGTACTTGAGCCGCGTCACAACAAAACCAACAAAGTGCGTTTGCGACCAACATGGATCCAGACCAGCATGCGCATCCGCGCAGTCTGATCAGAATCCATGCTGTTCGCTTACCAACCCAAGTAGAGAAACTGATAACGAACACCATGGATCTGATCAGACTGCGCGGATGCGCTGGCTGGTCTGGATCCAGGTTTGTCGCAAACGCACTATGTTGGTTTTTTTCGTGACGCGGTTCATTTATGCTGAAGTATATTATTTTTTTTTTTTTTTTTTTCAGGATTGCCTCGATTTCTTTGCGGACATCATAAAGATCTTGAACAATCTGACAAATTCTTTACAACGTTAAGTGATAGATTGACGGTTGTAGTTAATACAAATGATGGTTTTGGAGCAAGTTACTACGGACAATTCAACTTGAAATACATTATGTTTAGTAATGGTAAGTTAGTAAGTTAAATCTAAGCGTTAGAGTGACATTATGCCAATCTTATTGTAAATTGTGAGTGTATAGGTACAAGTGCAAAGAAACATTACATTTCGCCTTAATTATTTTTACTAGTAATTTTGGTAATCTACTTCACAAAAATAATCAATAACCCACGTGACTAATGGAAAAGTCCAGATTGTATTTGACAACATTCAATTAATAAAATGAGTCGGACAGTCTTTTAGAATTATAGGCAGTTTTTATATTTTATCCTTACCACTTTTTCTATCGTTATGTTTTGGTCAATGACCATTATAATAGTCAATCTTTTGAAATATAAACCTAGTTAACCCATTACTTCATGAGCATTTTGTGAAAAATTGCTGTTTTCATTGAAAAGTCTCCAGTTACAAGTTCTAATTGCTATAAAACTATAAAAACTGCTTCAATATTAATCAAACTTGACACAAATGTTGACTAGACCAATGCCTTTGTAACAACATGCCCAGGCTTACATTTCCTGTTACCATGGCATCGGGGGGACATCTCAAATTGCCAAAAATCACTATTTTGCGTTGATTTTTTTCCCATCAAAATTGATTTCAAAGTGCTGTAACTTCTCAATGGATAAAGATAGAGTCAAATGCTAGCGTTGGTCACACGTTACCTTCTGATCGATCTTGGGTTATTTATAGCCTCTCACAAGTCCAAAATTTTCTTGGCGATGAGGGGGACTGCCGCCCCCTTCAACCCCCCCCCCAAACAGAAGGGGGCACACCCCCTTCTGGCAACCCCCTGATGTATCTTTTGGTTGGGGGCCGCGCCGAAAAAGTGGTCACTTTTTTAAACAACATTCCAAAACAAAAACAAGTGTTGGGGCCTAAATAAGGCATTTTTTCACCATTTGAGACAACAATAAAGGGGGCGGGTGAAAAATGCGTTAAAAGGCGTGTATAAACGGTAATGTGTTATGCTGACTTAACCATGAAAAATGAGAATGATGTCAACTAAAAGACAGCATATTCCAAAATATAATGATCAGATTTGTCCATATTTCAACACTTTTAAATGACTTGAAATACTTATTTTAGAATTGCTCTTTCTTTGATTTTACGAATTTCTCTTGAAATAATTGTAACAGGAATATTGATGATATTTTTGTCATTTTTGTTAAGAATTTCGCTTCATTGTCAACAGACATGTGTTTTCTATACATGTATTTTGTACACAATTTCAAAAAAGTTAGTGTAGCAATATATGAAACGTGAAAATACGAAGAACTTAGAGCAAACAGACTGTCTATAGGCCTACAGTTACAACTTAATAGATTTGTCGAGATACAAAACTTTTAATCTGACATTAAATAGTAATAGAATATTTATAACCACACAAGTTGTGAATTATGGACAGCAGAAACAGTAGCTTTTTTTTTTCGAGAAAATCGTTTTTACTATATTAGAAAGGTTCAAATAATTTTTATTTAAGTTTATACCAAATGAACAAATCTAGAAAATCTAGACAAAAAACAACAAAAAAAAAAAACAAACAAAAAACAACACAAAAAATAATAAAATAAAAATAAAAACATAAAAAAGAAACGTAATCAGTTAGAGTGGATAGGTCTACATGAGACACGCACATTTTCATTAGTATTTTAGTATATCAGATATTGATAAAAACAATAGAAAATGTATCACTTGGATTTTCTTTCAAAATGCTGCTTGAAAAAAAAAAGATGATAAAGTTCTAAGCCATTTAGCTGATGTATAAAAATCTTTTGATTCCCATTTCACATTGCAACCATTTCTCATCCTTTCTCCCTTACTTGTTTATAGTCCAAGTCAGTGATTACGCTATCCGACGTTTATTTGAGAGAATATACAATGCCTGTAATTGTAAATCGCTGCCTAACTTTTAGAAACTCGTTCTTGTGAAATAGAATTGCAGTATTTCAACTTAATCAAAGCATATTCACTTTGGTAAATCAGCTAAATCTAATCAGTCTAGTAACCCTACAGTTTTGTAAAGATAATATTGCTATTAATTAAATTTGCCGAACGACTGTGCCGTTCTTGACCAATTTAATCTTACATAAACTCTATACTTGGTGTTTACGTTCAGTTTTGATGGGCAAATTTGGTAATTGATAGTGTCTTGCTTACAAAATGTAAGTGTAAGATAATTAAATAAGTGAAAATGTCTACATGTATACAATGATTTGACATATGTATTTACAGGCCCATGTCACAGTGAACATGTTTACAAATGTTCAAATGGACGCTGCATCCAAAACTATTATCGTTGTTCGAGTCAGATTAATGCTTGCTTGGCAACAGAAGCAGTGTGCAATGGAACTAGAGCTACAAAAGTCAATGGTACTACAGAAGGCAAAGTACGGAAAGATTTACAGAACTTGTATGTAGCGGGGTGTGTAGTGATACTCGCAATGAGCGTTGTTTGCATTTTCAAGAGAAAATACGGACTAACATGCCCATCATGTCCAAACCGGCAACCGCGCTTAACAAATCAGGTAACCGTTTTCATCAGTGACAATATTTGCAACAAACTTTATTACGACATTATTATTCTCAAATATCATGAGCCAATGTTGCTTAGCGTGCGAAATATTTGCAAAATCATTCATGATTTTCTGTGTTATGATATAAAGCAATAAAGTTTAATTCTCCATTTCAGGGCCGAAGCTGGGCACCAATTAATATTCAATCCAATCTAGCACCAGATGAACAAGTTCCTTTATCAAACAGAAATTTAAACGAAGTTAATACAATTGACACACTGACTGTTAGTCTTGACAATTCATTCCCTTCTGAGCAAATAATTTTTCCAAATAGATACATGCTTGCCATTACGTATCCAGATCATCCACCTTTATACGAAGATGTCGAAGATAATAATGATAATAATGAAGATATTCTGCCAAGCTATGGCGACGTTGTAGCTAATCCTACAGAATACACTAATGTTTCACAAAGATGATAAAGCATTTAACTAGTAGAGGAAGAAAACGGTAAAAAAAAAACGTTTTTGAATACAATGTGAATATTGAGTTTATCTGGGAAGACGGATTGATGTCAAGAGTGTTGCTACTCGGACTAGCTGGTACTTGTCCCATGTTTCGGTAAGCATAGAGGACATGCCACAGCACCCCTTCTAGTTTTCCACTGACGGTTTTTGAATGAAATGTTAACCAAATAATTGTTATTGCCTTTATTTGATCAATTTTGTTAATTAATATAAGCATCCAAATGATTCAGTTTATAATTGGTGCAATATTGAGTACGTTTTAGAGCAATTTGTCTGAATTTCCTAAACGTAAATTGCATGAAAATTATAAATTACATTATTATAGTAAAATTTGGCTAAACAATCAGATGACTTTATTTTGTTATGCCTTTTCATTGAAGTGTACTTTAAGTCAAGATGCGTTTTATGTCCTTCTATACATTCTTCATAGACAGTTTAAGGTTAGCTTATATGACTATATACAGAGGCGTAGGTACTATTAGGCCTTTTAGGGACGGGCCTACAAGTTGGTCAAGAAATTGACATTTCAAAAGTTCCCAGATACAATAAAAACACGCGATGGTGTGGTTTGTAGTGGGTTCAAGCCGTATAGTCGAATCAAGTGTGTGTGTGCATGATTTACCATCTTCAGTAAATTTGCAACTATTCAAATTCATAGTTTAAAATCATTGTTTTGATAATTTTCCTTGAACATAGTAATACTTTGTAACGCGCATTTTGCTCTTTTTAATCTGACCATTTTTTTTTGGCGTCTGGGGGCTCCCCAGACCCCCTTCAAGTGCCTACAAGTTGAAAAAAGCTGGCTACGCCGCTGATATATATGTTCAGTTTTAGACCAATATTCAGAAAGAAAACATCTTCAAATATGGAAATTACGAGTATATCTGTCTCTTAATGGCCTTCGTTAGTCAAGTTTGCTCATACTGGTCAGATTGCCTTCTTAACTTTTTCAATTACCTTTAATTTTCATACTCTTTTTTTCAGTTTCATGCCTAAAGCGTCTTGGGATATATCAAATTTGCAATTTTGGAAAATTCAACGGCAATTCTATCATAGTGATCCTGTTCATTGTACAGAGACTTTGATAGTCCAAAAATGTCAAGGTCGCCAATATTCCCCAGTGGTGGGGTAGGTTTTAATTCGACTGACCGGGAGACAAGTGCATAATAAAACAATTCATAGATGAGGGATTTTATCCTTCACGCCAAACTGATAATACGTACTGTATTTAGTCCAAAAGTTCCGGTTAAATTACACTAATATCAAAAATAAATCTAATAGGTTTAGGCTAATTTATTAAGTTTTTTTTAGTGAAAAAAAAAATGCTAACATGTATTTCTTATTTCATGATGCATTTTCGGGAGTAAGACAAACTACTGAAATACACATTTTTCGGAAAATTTTACTTTGATGTTAAAAGCTATTCATTCCTTGATTTTTTTCTTAGTATTGAAAGAAATGATTACTGTTCAGCCTTTGAAAAGCTTATCGGTAAATATCTGACATTTACACTTTCATCATTACTACCTAAATAAAGAATCAATAATTATAAGTATAAGACACTGTTTTATCGGTGAAAGTCTACATACGATTGAAAAATAAATATTCAAGTTGTTAACCCATGCAAAGGCTGGTACCTATGACACGCAACCACCGCTAAATGTTGCGAAATCTTCTACCGTCAAATGTCGCAATTGAAACGTTAAATATCGCACGATTTCCGTTACCGTTAAATGTCGCAACACCACCATATAATGTTGCAATATCTAAATTCATGTACAAAAAGGTATTATGTCAATATTTAAGTTATGTAAGTGAACTGGGCTATCTCTCAGATAGGAACGGATTTGCTGTATTGGTTGAAATCAAAGTTATCTTTGTCGGTATTATAAATTGACTACCGTTATTTATGACATATGACCCTTTGGTGATAAAACGCATTTGTATTTTCTTTCATTTAGCAACCTAGATGTCCTGGGTTCAAGCTAGAGGATTGTCCCAGAAAGATTGAACTAAATTTCATTTTAGATTAGTATTTTTATAACGCGTGTCGGCCTTTCATCTACAAGCATGTTTTATAGGTTTTATATGTATTACTGGTATTCTGCATTTTATCTAGGTATTATTATATTGTCACAATTGGATTAGTTTTATAAATTTTATTGATGCAAACAAATCTGATTATTTTTTCACCTTTTTCTTCTTTCTTTTCTTTAATTGTCAGTAAAAAGTATTATCATTACCAGTATATGCTTTTGAACTTCTCTATCTAAATTATCTAGAAAGTCGAAGGATTTACTTATTGGTCTTACCTGGTGGGCTGATGATTAAACAAGATGATACTTATATGTTATAAATAATGTTATCTGATTCTATTTCAAGTGATGTTATAGAAAATTGAACATTGTGCGTTAATTGACCAGTTAACACAAACACATTCAGTCTCATTTTCGGTGGCTTTAGCAGCAGTTCCATGCTAAAAACCTTGTTTTAAACAGTTCTAAAGTACATATAAAATCTCCACTGGTTATATCATATATACCATTTCTGATAGTTTGATGCCGTTGAAATAAATGCAATACTTTGCCGATATGTAGTCCCAAAGGGTAGACATGTTTAAGAAAAAAGCTCAAGGTATCGCCTTAATTTCTGGAGTGGTACATAAAATGATAGGTCACTTGTCTAAGCCAGATGTAGGTAAACTAGTGTATGTTAGGTAGCAAATCATAATCAAATAGTTTATACTAAACGCTGAAGCCCATAAGTCACAAATATCTGTAATGACTTACATTAATGTCATTTTTTAGCCATTTGTTTTTAAGCTGGAGTTCAAGTATTGGCAAAAATGTAAATGGTCATGGATATTTAGGTTATATTCTATTGCGTTATTCAGTATGAAATCCTAAAGAAATGACAGGTAGCCGTGACATAAAAATACGGCCTGCAGAAATAAAATTGAAGTGATCTCGTGTGTTTTGCTGGCGACAAAGGCAATTAAACCAAACACAAGTACACACAAACGCACACTCACGCACACACGAGCTTTCATGTACCATAGTGGTGTAGGACAAAAGCCCCTCGGACAAAAGTTGCCATCTAAAAATGACATGGTGGACAAGGGCCCCACCATGAAATATACAGGTAGAACAAAAGGCCCCCCCATCAAAAAATACAGGTAGGAGAAAAGCCCCCCCCCCCCCCCTCACCCCATCAAACAAATTGGTAGGGACAAAAGCCCCCCCCCCCCCCCCTTAAGGTTTATAGACCAGACTGACTATTATCTTTTTCACACGTCCAGGTGCTTAAATTCACCAAGGTTCAAACTAACTTTCAAAAAATGAAAATAATTTGTTTTTAATGTTAATTTATAATGTACATATTGAAGTGATAACAAAAGTATATGATAACAGATGAAATAACGCATGCATTGTATACTAAATTCAAAGCTTTTGATATCAGTTATTCCTCTTACAAAACAGTGTAGGATTAGTAATGTTTAATCACTTTATTTTGTAAAGAGACCAATATGCTTAGCACTAAATGTGATGTCCATACAATATTCTTAAAACACATGATTATTGAAAGATAGCATATACATGTATAATAGTAAAGATAGCACTGCAATATGTGTATATGATCAGAAGAAAATGATATTCTATAAACAAACAGAACTATAATACAAACATGCATTACAAAGGTTACATACGTAGAGAAATGTAGATGTAGGGGGTGGGGGATCTTTTGTCCTTAATGTTTATTCGATGGGGGAGGGGGGACGTTTGTGCATTGTTTAAATAAATTTGATAGGGGCTCGGGGCTTTTTTGTCCACTGTGTCATTTTAAGATGGAGGTGGGCTTTTGGCCGTGGGGGGGGGGGGGGGGATTGTACGTATCCCGTAGAACTATAATTATTAATTGTTTTATTGGGTCTTGAACTCATCGAACATACTGAATGTGTGTAATTAGATTATTAATGAGACTTCTGTTAAAAAATTAAGTTACAGGCGGTATGGCCGAGTGATGTATCAAACTAGTAATCTAAAGATATCGGGCCACGTGGGTTCGACCCAGACAGGGGCAAGGCGTTTTTACCGTTCTCAAAAATCTTTACACACTAGTTCCAGTGCTTCAATACGCTTAGAGCAACAAAATAAATTCGTATAACCCAGCTAAAAGTAATCAAGTTGGTATTCAGATTATAGAACGCTGGTATTTACAGTAATATATAAAAAAATACAAATAGATTTTTGTTGGATTTTACATTGCAACAACAGAGTAAGGACAGATGGTGACTTTTCAGCCTTACTGGTGAAGCAAGACTTCATGTGCCTTATCATGCATTATTTTCGGCACGAACGGGAACCTGAATAAAACAAACGACGTTCCGTAAACTAGCTAGAGTATATTTTCCTCATATAAAAGACTAAGTCTATTGCGGGGTTTCGAACCCACAGCGGTGGGGGTATGTAGATGGACACAGGTACACAAAGCAATATACTTCAGTGTGGCAATACCACGTGACATTGACGTCATTTTCGGCATCATTTCCAAGACAAATGTTGCTCGATTCGGAAAAGAAAATAGCCGTAAAGGTTTTATTTTCTGTACCAATTTCTTTGGGGATATGCACCAGTCTACGGGGGAAAATATAAGCTTTCCATAGAATATTGGATCTTTTCGTCCAGTTTATAAAGCCGTTTTTATCAAACACTTTGCCCTAACCTTGGAAAGTTGCTTTGTATTAGAGCGGGCTTCAGTTGCAAGCTATTTCGTTTTTTCTGGCGTTATCTGGTCTACGCCATGATTAAAAAAAGTCAGGTTTACATCAAACCGGGAGTACGGAAGGCAAAACTCTACCTAAATATGTTCATATTTTTATACGAATGACATAAAATCTTACATTTTTCTTCAAATTGGTCAATTCTGGGGCACCAGTTCCAAGTCGAAATAAAGGACTACAGTTTAAAGCAGATTTTAGAATCCCGTTGCAAATGCGAAAGCAACATGCCTACCCGTTCTCTTTCTACAATTGAGTTTTTTCATTGTTGATCGTTCACAGAGAGATTGTGAAAAAAACCTGAAAAAACTGATTGTCCCTTAAAGCAACAACACTTACTTGTATCGCATGTCAAATCACGTAGATTTAGTCCTGTCGGAAAATAATGTTTTTGGTTTTCGTTTTGAAGATGTTTAAAGTATTGCTCATCTTTATCCTATGTAGTAAAATTATTCTATTTCAACAATGGCGAAATTGATAAGAAATATATGCTCTTAGTGAGAGAAAGAGTTAATATAAAAAACACTTTTGTATGATATGGA